CTGCCAGGGCAGGTTTAGTTTAGATATGAGGAAGTGATTTTTTATGGAAAGAATGATCAGGCATTGGAATGTGCTGCCCAGGGAGGTGGTGGATTCACCATCCCTGGAGGTTTTCAAGCTGAGACTGGATGTGGCACTTAGTGCCATGGTCTAATAACTGCGGTAGAATTGGACTTGATGATCTTGGAGGTCTTTTCCAACCCGGTTGATTCCATGATTCTATGAAATAATCATTAATATTAAGTTTATTGAACAGCACAGTTATTCCTCCCAGTTTGGAGGAGTCTTTTTTTGCACATTGAGCACTCAAAACTCTAAGGTAACTATTTAAAAGCCTGGCTAGAATATTTCAACAATGCCACCAATCCTTGCTTTTTAGGTTGCTGATATGCAAGACTTGCACAACTTTTTCTAAAAGAATAATACAAACAGTTTAACATCCTTTGTCCTAACATGCAGCGACAGTGAAAAAACAAAAGAGTAGCAGCTATTGGATGCTGGTGTTGTCCATGATTCCTAGTTACTTTCTAAACATTGCACATTTTTCTACAATTAATGCAAATTAACTATCAGTCACACCCATTCCTGCCTAGTAAATTTGCATAAGTTTAAAAACACCACTCTTATTTAGATAATTATGTGTAAAAAAAAAAAACCCATCTGGTTTTAGAATTCTCCAAGACCTTTTTTTGTAAATTTCTAGCCAACATTAGCAAATCTTAAGATCATGCTGTTAAAGAAATAAAAATCACTTGTTTGAGAACAACTGGATGATTCTGCTCAAAACATTAACTGATGTTTGGATTTTGAATCCCATCATTAATCTTCCAACTGAGTAATGCAGCTAGAAGAAGATTCAAATATGAGGCACAATGTTACATAATGCGTTCAGAAAAGAATTCTGTAGTAAATGAAGGAGCAGAAGTTGTCACTGGGAGGCACAAAATTATTTAATTCAAGCCCCCATTTCATTTTGCCCCTAGAATGAAGTTTCTGATAAAGGCAAAAAACAGCCTACCAAGGAAAGACTCTATGTCAGGAACAGGTCCCAGGCCTTCCAGCAATTCATTCAGCAGGTCATTAGTCTCAGTGGCAATGGCATCCTGGTGTTCCAATAGTAGCTATAAACAAATGTAAATGAAGTCATCATCCAGAAAAATCTTTCCCAGTGTTCTTATACTTGAAAATAAATCTGAAAACTTAATGCTGAAAAACACAGGCCTAACATGATTGGGATTGTGGAGGATCCAAGGCAAGGAACATGCTTGAATTTGGACTAAGAGTTTAGAGTTGCCCTTGTACTAATATAGCTTGCCATGCTCCTCCAGCAATCGTATTTGGAATGCTGAATATTGCAGCTGAACAGGAGTTTAAGATTTGAGATTAGGACTATCAATGTGTCTCAGAGTAAAGGACGAAAAATCAGAGCATTTTGGTGCTGCATCCTTAATTTAGCACACAAAGGAATGAAGACGGAGTTGGTAGTCCATGGAAAGACACCTATTATCTGTATATCCATTGCAGTGGATTGCAATAGTGTCATTGATACAAAATATAGTTATTTCTGTAAGGTAAGAGAGAAACCAGCCATGCAGCACCTGCTGCTCTTAATGGACATGTTATGTTAGACATTAGACCCACTAAAAGGAATCTTTGATCAAGACTGGTGTTTACATATAACCACTGACCATAAACATACAGACAAAGGTCTATACCTTAAAAATTTAAAAGAACAGACAAAAATACAATTCAGGAAATATGTCTCTGGCAGAGTAGGTTATTAATTTTGACTTAAACAAAGGTAACTTACAATGTGGTCTGTTGTGAGTTGGGTATTCTACCTTTTCTATAGTTTATCTGGTAATATTTGTGAGAAGTTTTTGTGGGGTTTTTCAGGGGGTGGCACTGTTTCAGCTTGGGGTTTGGTGGATTTTTTGTGTTGGGGTTGGGGATACACAGAGGACACACTGCACGCCAGGAAACAGATAGTAATATCCCAGCTTTAGGAGAAACATGTGGTAAACATTCAACTTTCACCCCGATGAGTCATACAACCGTGCAGTTAATCTGTTCTTTACCCATGATAACAAACTGGCAGGATGCCACAGCTTCAGCCTTTCTAAATCAGACATTTACATGAGCTTCCAGTGAATCATATGACAATGTCACAGTCACAAAACACAATTTCTATTCTGTTCAGAGTCAAAGGAGCTTCTTCAAATTAGTGCCACTTCCTCATTCAAGACAGGAAAGTATTTTTAAGTGTAAGGTAGGAATGCCACATGAGATTAGAACAAAAATGTTCTTTTCCACCATCAGAAATTTTACATACTAATAATTATTCAAGCTGACGCTTTTGAATGGAAGCAGTCTTTTATTCCAGGAAAAATGCAATCTAATACTCAACTTCAGAAAATTTCAGAGATGAAGAAATTCCTTTAAAAGAAAGAATGAAAACTAAGCTTTCTCCAGCAAGTATTTGATAATCTGGTCTCTTTAGTCTGTTGACTAGTCTGTTTTTATTGACTTACTGAATGGGTATTGATAATTTCCTCAATGGAGATATATATGACAGGTTTGCTAAGGGTCACCATGTCAGAGTATTCATCAATATTGAATTTTTCCTCTGGTTCAGGAACATCACATGCTGCTTGAAAAAAATTCCTAAGAGAAAATGAGAAAGACTTCAACAATTGTCCCTTATAAATTCACTTTATTTAGCCTGTGTAAAAAACTCACAATCAAGTCTTTGATATTTCTCTTATAACCTGCAGTCTACCCTCACTGTTTCAAGCAATCTTTTGAAGGCAACACATCATTACAAATGAAGTGTTCTCTTTCCTGGACAGATGGTGAAAGGTTATTTTAAAGGTTATTTTTTTCCTCCGTATTCAACAAGGAGTGAAAACTTAGTAAATGTTAAACACTTAGAGAAATCTGTATTTAATGCTCCAGAAGTTATGAAAGGATTTCTACAGAAAGACCCTCTGATTTTATTAAGGTACTTTGTAGTAGGAGGTGTATGAAGAAGAAACTGCTTGAACTAGCTGCTCCAAATTACCATTTGGGAATGTTTACATTGCTGTTATGCAGAAAATGAGCTGCTCAAAATGATAGAAAAACGCAGTATTTATAAATATCAGAACCTCGAGAGTCAAAGGTGCAGAGCATGGTTGAAGTGTTAGTATGACTAGCATGTACATGGAGAACCAAGATCTGCTTCCCAAAATGACAGTGGGTGTCCCTCCAAGCTACTGACAACTTCAGGGATGTGCACATGCAACCATGTACCAACAAGGTCCTCCTGTCAGAGGACCACTTTGTTTTCCAAAGTGAGTGGACCTGAGTTGGAGCAGCAGGGAGAAACAGGGTATTAGATGATGCCCACAGGATTGCTCCAGGAGCCATGCTGCCTTCATTGTGCCAGCTCTGTGACGTTGATGAGGATGTTTCAGGCTCAGAAGACCTTTAAAGCACTAGGGAAAAAAACAGCCAACCAACAACAATGGGAAAGGGCTGGGATTCCTCAGTTTGGCGAGGGAAGGCTGAGGGGTACAAATCCAGTTGTACAAAAAAAAATCACAGTGGTGTTGGCATGAGATGGGCACAGAATATATTGATCAAGCCCAAAATATAATGGCCAAGAGGACATGCAATGAAACTGCAGGAAAACTTCAATTTTAACCAACAGGCAGCAAACTTACAAATCTTGCTATGGGAGGAGGGTGTGGAGGCAGGTGATGTCAAAGGTTTAGGAAGGGTTTGGACAAATTCCTGCATCAGTTCATAAATGCACAGTAAGATGTCTCACCAGGGCTAGCAGCTTTTAGCATAGTGAATATTGCACTTGCAGGTGCTGGATACAAGGGGAGCAGGCAGCTGAGGGTAGCCACGTCAGTGTTTAAGAACGGTTTAGTTAAATCACAGAGCTCAGGCATAATGCTCAGTTTTGTGTAAAGTTAGCTTAATTAGGAGAGGGATACTTTTGTAGTGGTCAAAGCCTGCTCTAGTTGGCCCTCTTTCATTAGCATTTGTTACTCCTGCTATAACACTTTCTATTCTATTGCTTCTTCATGTTCATATCACATCCTTAAATACTCCATTAAAGAAAATTACTAAGTTTAGGTATTCTTTTGTTCATGGCTGATCTTTCAAGGAAACCCATTGTGTGAACAGTACATTTGCTTTCATGAAGGGCAGATGCTAAAGATAGAACTTCTGAATGCAAGTTTGCCACAAAACTCAGCAATGCTTCAAAGTAATAACAGCAATCACACCAAAAAATGGGCAATAATCCCGAAGAACTCATGTCCCAGAGTGTAGCAAAACATGCGGTTTTCTATGACCGTGCAGGATAAATTAATGAATCTCTCAAAGGTGAAAGAATAAAAATAAAACCTGCAACTTTTTCCTGACAAATAAGGCTTTTTTCCCCTCAGACAAAACATTCACCTGTCCTCCCAGCTCAAAGGAGACATTGTTTCTGCTGGATAATGAATTACCTCACTTTGTTCTTAGCCTGTGTTTGCAGTTAAGGAAGTCTTTCTGCAACCAAGGCAGCAGAGATGATCTCAAGTTTATGCTCAAGCAGAAATACAACCAGTTACTCCAGCTCCAACCTTCCTCAGCAGTGAGCATTTCTCTTTGTGAGATTACTCAACATTTTTAACTCTGAGCAGAGAATTCCTGTCAACAAGGAATCCACCTGCTTTAATCATCCTAGAGAGCTCTTACTGTGTAGGTGTTTGTGAAGGCTTTACATACCTGAACTTCTGGTAGGTCTGTGAGAGGTAAGTGTTCATAGATGACAGATGTTCACTCTCTCCTTCAAAGAGTTTGTTAGAAGCAGCATGCTGGAGGACTTTGGCCACACAGCCTAGGTTCCTCCTCTGGTCAGGGTGTATCTGTCCCCCAGCTGTCATATCAATGATATCAAAACCATCAGGAGCAACAATGGCAGGGTTCATGTAGCGATAGTACAGAAGGTTGCCAACAATCTAAAAGAAAAAATTAAGAGATCTTCCCTTTGTATACAGTAATGACACTTTGCAAACATGAGCAATCATTTCTACTTCTAAATTAGACCATAGGTGCTGGTGCTAGAAGAATCCCTAAGATGCATGTGACCTATGTGGCTAAGAACCTGTGGTGTTTTACGTGATGTGCCTCCTACGACACCTCTGTGAACATGAGTTATGGACTTTTACAACCACATTTCCATTTGGCTTTAGGTCAGCTAATGCAAGGCATGGAGCTAAACACAACTCTTCTAGGTTTTACAAGGTTCAGCTCCAGGTGCTCATTCTCTCAAGTGCTACAGGTACTGACAGCATTTAATGCATTCATTGACAAGGGGCCCATTATTTCCTGTGAAGACTGCAACACAGCCCTACAAAGCTAGAGAACAGATCTTCCAAAACTGCAATTCCTACAACAATGTTACAGCAACTTGTGCAGATGCTGGCTTCAAAAAATTCCTGATCTCAGAAATGAGCAGGACTTTTCTTACTGCCATTTGCTTCATCTCATGTGTGGTTCCCTGCAGAACTTCCAACTTATACATTTAAAGGCTTTCAGGTCGGTGCCTTATGCTCCATTTACTACTTCACATTTCTTTTTATGCATTGAGCAAGTCTTTGATCTGTGTTGCAGAAATGATGGACAGAAATGCCCCAATAAGTGCTGCTTGGAAGGATTTCCAATATATTGTTACAACATAGAAGCAGAATTAATTTTTCAGCTGAGGAGTTTAAAGGTACCAGGATATACAGATACATCCATAACTATATTTGGCTTTTTTTTTTTTAAACAAACACTGAACAGAGTCTTTTGGTGCAACAACAGGGAAGTTCTATTGAAATTATTGCCTTGTATTTTTAGAATCATGTAATTAAACACTAATGGAAGGGTCTTTATTGAAGCCCAAATAGTTCCCATGTGAGAGAACTGTCAGTCTCTCACAGGCCTGTAAGGCTCATGGAGCTATTCCCCGCAGCTTTCTGAAGAGGCACGACAGCTTTGGTAGGATAGTGATAGTAAGTGTTCCAGCCCCATGCTTATCACTCACACCCTACTCTTCAGTCTGTACAGACATCATTCCTACAACTTTTACAAGCAACTTCAGTGTAACATAATGACCTACCTGAAGTTTGCTTTTGGGGAAGTTCCTCATTGTATTTAAATTACAAATTTCTTAATATGTTAATGGCTACAGGTGAGTGGGGAAAAATACCAAGGGAAAAAGAGACTAGTGTTCTCCATGAAAGGATTGCTGATGGCAAGGACCTCAGTACAGACCCAAGCCCCATGATGATGCAGATAAAGTCCAGCCTTCTAAGTACAGTTACTACCCAAAACAGGTTGAGCACTGTTTTACACAAGAACAGCTGAGCACTCAGATTAACATACTTATTAACACACCTAGCTGGTGACAACAGTTTCCCTCTCCCCTTCCACCACCCCCTTTACAACCCAATAAGAACTGCCAAATTCCTTTAGTAAATGCTGATGTTCTCAGTTCCTTAGTATCAATAAAACTCCCTTTTGGCATTAAAAGAACGATTGCTGGTAATTTGCCCTCAGAAGTCTACCTTTAGTAGTTCATCTTCTGTCGCATCTGGGAATTTTGCGTGGAGAGAGCTCTTCAGAACTTTGGCTATATATCTCATTCCATAACTGCATGTAGAACAGATGAAAAGGAAGAATATTGGAAAAGGCTTACACAGAATCATAGAGTTTTAAGGGTTGGAATGAACCTTATAGATCATCTAGTCCCAACCCCCTGCCCTGGGCAGGGACACCTCCCACCAGAGCAGGTTGCTCAAGGTTCATCCAACCTGGCTTTGAACACTGCCAGGGTTGGGGCAGCCACAGCCTCCCTGGGCAACCTGTGCCAGTGTCTCACCACCTTCACAGGGAAAAACATCTTCCTAATGTCTAGCCTAAATTCCCCTCCTTCAATTTGAATCTGTCACCCCTTGTCCTATCGCTCAAGTTTCTAACAAAGAGTCCCTCTCTGACTCCCCTATGAAACACAAAACAATCATTCTAGTCAGCTTAAGTTACTGGCTTTTCGCCCAGTCCCTTGAAACACAGAGTTGATAACGAGAAATAAACTTTCAAGTACAGGGAGAGGCTCCCCAGAGAGCTACAGCAGAGTACAGGTGGAGAAACCTCTCCCTCTAGTGGGGAAGTCATTTGAGAGTATCACAAGCCTTTGAAAGCATGGCAAGAATTTGAAAGGATCTCTATCATCGAATTTCAAGTGAAGCTTCACTGTGCACATGAACTGCAGCTTGGAGTGTCCTAACTCGCCACTTACGGCATCATATTGAGAGAAGAGAATATGGATGTGAGAACTTTGTCAGTAACTGCTCGCAAACTCTGAATCGATGATTCCAGTTTATTGACCACTTCTGTGTGTGTCAATGCTTGTTCTGTGGTTACATCATATGGCAATTTGCTGGAAAGCAAACAAACAGATATTAAACCAGGCTAAATGTATCTGAGAATAAAATACTTCTTTTTTCTTCACAAGGGCCATCAGTTGAACAAAATAAAAGTCAAATACAGCTGAAGTTGGTTAAGAAACAAGTCTCAGGCGTATTAGTTTCCTATTTTGGAGGTGAGAAGTTTGTTTAGGTGGGGTGCACATGCTGTCATGTACCTTCTCTTAATTACGAAAGGGCAATCCAAATAAGGCATGCATCCCCACATCCCAGTCCCAGCACAGCTTGTCCAGAGCCTGGAACACTACTAACATGCTGTCATAAAAACAGAGGAAAACACTAAACTGTTCCATAGCACTTATAAAGATTAAGTAATTCACTTTGGAACGTCATGACAAGAAAAGTGATCCCTTTTGTTGTTCAGAGTAAATTAAAGCACCTGTTTTTCAAGCACCTCTTGCCCAAACTGCTCACTATGCTGCAGAAAGATGGGGAAGGGATGTACGGGCATAAGTATAATTTCTCAGAGAAAGAATGGGAAAGCAGGACTGAGGGATTCTCCCTCACTGGACATAGTCAAGAACCATCTGGACACAATCCTGTGCCATGTGCTCTGGTATGGTCCTGCTTGAGCAGGGAGATTGGACCAGGTGACTTACTGTGGTCCCTTCTAACCTGATCCATTCTGTGATTCCTAATGAATTTAAACGGTACAGCATGTCCAGCTTCCTCACTCACCTGGCCTCACCAGTCTGCATTTCTAGCTGGTTTACCCATGACTTGTACACATCCACAGGACTAGTGTTGATGATAAGGGACTTGTCATCCATGATCTCCTTCACCACTGGGGCCAGGAGCTGGCGCAGAGTGTTCTGCCCACGAGCACCTCGGTTGAAGCTGACGACCATCTTAATGACAGTAGGGTTTCCAGTAACGATGTCCTGAATCTGGTCTACCTTAGAGCTGTATCAAGGGCAGAAGAGTTCTCAGCTCTGATTTATGTATCCAGTTATCCATGTTTTCAAAACCCACAGTTTTTAAATTATCCTACTTCTACCTCAAAACCTGCTTATACAGTCTATTTCTTAGGCTTTTATATAAAACAAGATTATAGAAACCGCCACCTGAGCTCTGTGTGTGTTATAGTAATGTTCCAAGAACACAGCATAGTTAGTGGCAGCTAATATGTACCTGGTTCAAACCCAAATGCTTGTTCAGTAATTTTCTGCATAACATAGGGAAAACAAGTGCTTTCTTCAGCCTTAAATACTCAGGCACAAATCCAACAAGGCCTAATGTCTATTTTTTCAAGCAATATTTTCATAGAAGAATATTTTTTCTGAATTGCAAATCACTTGAGTTTTGAGAACAAATTACTCTGAAAACAAATTTCTTTAGTAACAACAATATGTATGCAATCTTATGGTAATTTAAAGATGAGCTGTCAAATTCTTTTAGGTATGAAGCATTGGCTGAACTGTCGGCAACACGAATTAATGCTTTGTTGTGACTGCACGTACTTTATCTCCTCTTCTAGAGCAGTTTTGAAGAGTTTGAGAAGCAGATATTCTTCTCGCTGATTGGAGGCATAGTTGTATAGAGTAAAGATGACTGTGTCCATAAACTTGGTTGATTTGTTTTGTGGCATCTGGAAAATCAGCTTTGCCAGATATGTGGGATTGGTCTAGAAAACAAAGAAGTTACTTGCATACTGAAGTCCATGACAAACTACCCCCTTTGGGAGGCAGCTCTCTCTCCATTTCTGTTCATACCAAGAGCATTTATGTTGACCCCATTTGTCACTTTTCCATGCAGGCTTTATTTTCCTCCAAATCCTAATGCATAAGAAACACAATACTGCACAGCTAGATATCTGTGAGAAGCACCATTAAGGATTTTATTTGTAGTCCCTGGGGAGTAATCTGTGCATCTATGTATGCAATGACCATTTCCCAAGTTACAATGGCTATTTACCAAGACAACTTTGCACACTACGTGTCCACTTCAGAGTTAGAAGGCTTCTGGCCTGGGAGAATGTAAAATTCTACTAGAAAAATGCCAGTGAAGTGAGATAAGAAGAGCTCCAGGACAGATAGATTATATGCTGTCAGCTGCATTGCAGGCAACTTCCTTTCCACCACATAATGCACAGCAATAGTGACTTACATGAACTAAATTATATATGGAGGAAAACATTTCTCTTCAGCTTCAGTATAGACTGAAGTTATACTCAAGCTAAAACCAGCTATATTTGTTGCATGGTTTAAAGACAGAAAGGATGTTCTCAATCATAGGCAATACTAGAAGTTGGTCACAGTGTTTGCTGCAGTCTGCATGTTATTTGGAAATATTTTCATAATCACTACTACAATCATTAAAACAAAACATGCAGTATATTCCTAGTTTTTCTTTAGCAGTTTGCCACTATGTTAATTTTTACATTAAAATTTACCTGTAGCAGGTAGAATAAATGTTGGTAAGCCTCCAGCTTCTTTCTTCTCTCTTTACTCAAACCTTTGATCCCCTGTTTGTCAACCATAACCATCTCCTCCAGCTGACTTTTGCTCTTTTTGTTAAGTTTCTTACTGTGCAGTACCACATCCTGCAGGCAGATGATAAAAAAATCTAGATTATACATTCACAAAACAGGTAAATTGGAAAAAATAACATTTTCCCAACCATGTTAAAAGTGATATTACTCCTAGGGCCTTAATTAGGACCTTTGTATATTTTGCTGCTCTATTCACTAACCATTCTTCTGAACATCTTTATCTTGTCACCAGTATGACTTGCCAGCAATGACTGTATGGGACCTGATCTCCTGTGCAGACTCATTCATGACTAATTAACATTGAATAAGCTTTTCAATATGATGAGAAGTCTATTCTACCATATTTTACCACAGAAAAGATATAAAAGATTTTAAATTTTCCAAGTAATTACTGTTGTCCACAACTAGCAAAACACAGAATGACATACAGCTCAAGACAAGAGAACAACATCTAGCACAAGGCAGAAACATGCCAAGTGTTTAATTTACCAGGACTATTTAACTAATTGAGGAGGTGACTGAGCACAGGCAGAGGTTTCTCAGAGACATTGTGAAGTCTCCATTCTTGAAGATATTCAAAAGTCATCTGGGCATGGTCCTGGGCAACCTGCTCTGGGTGGCCCTGGTCGAGCAGGGGGATTGGGCCAAAAGACCTCCAGAGGTCCCTTCAAGCCTCAGCTGTGCTGTGATTGTGAAACCCCAAGCTCCTTCAACACTCAGTGCATGCTCCCAAGGGAGATTTAACAGAGCCTGCTGACCTGAAGAGTGATTCTGTTTTTCACCAGCAATCCAATCTTTATATCCATTAAGTTCAAATCCTTTTCCAGCTGTTGATTGGATCGAATTTTGGTAACCACTTCTTCCCTTAACCTCGTCACTTCTAGCTCTTCTTGAAAGTCTAAGTCACTTTGGTCCAAGAGGTAGGCAAATTTGCGCAGAACACTCAAGGGTGGATTTTCAGCACCAACTAGAGTTGAAGAAAATAGGCTTGTTAGTTGACATACTACTGAGCACCCTTAAAACCCTAAGGTAATTGATCACTGTGTGGAAGATTCCCGAAGTGCAGAGAGAAGTTTATGCCACTTAGAGCAATATTTTGTCATACTTTAAGAGTACAACTATGCAAAAAGTTTTCAGCTGTAGAACAACTGGTTTGCAAACCCTTGCATCTGCTTTTAAGTTGAATAGGAGACTGAGAAATCCCACATGAAAGTTAAAATAGACTGAACACTGTAACATACTTGTCCCCAGACAAACAGTATTCAACTGTTACCACTTACTTAGTGTTCTGTAGTCCTCCCTGGCTTTGTTTGCTCTGAGAAATGCTTGTATCTTCACAATTTGATCATTCTGAAAGAGAACAAGTTCAGGCAAAAGAATCCAGTTATGATACACTTCTTCTCAGAAACATACTGCAAAACCTGCACCCTCTTCCCTGAGCTTCCCAAAACTACTCATGCTGCCACATTGCCCTACTTCAAAGCTTCGTGTTCAAAATGGAGAAAGAGGACTCACGTGATCCTTGAAGTATTGCAGACGTTTCCTGTAAGCTCTCTTTGCCAGCCACATTTTGACCCATGACTGAATCTGAAAATGAAATAAAATCAAATGAAAACTTAGCAGACACTGCACAGACTTGTATGTTTTAAATCTGTTTCTGAAAGTCTACTCCTGCAGACATGCTGTTCTTGCATGCTCAGGACTATAGACAGCTCTGCCATCAGGCTCCTAGTGGCCACTGACCAGATTAAGGGGGTCCTACTGAAGAAGCAATTTGAGTTCAAGGTTCTGCCACCTGTGTGTAGTATTATCTCTGGAACTCATTTCTACCTTTGTCTCTCAGCTCTAAACCAGTCTCTCTCAGAAACACGAGATCCTGAAACAATATTCCACCCGTGACCTGTGCTCTAATCATGGCACAACCTCCCATTAGCATCTCAGAAAAGTGAACACTTCTCAGAAAAGCAGATTCGACAGATTTTAAGGAAATAACACATTCATCCCAATTGTTTTGTAATTTAGTATTAGGGAAATGGAAGTGTAAGGAGAGCTCTGTGATGAGCCCCTCAAATTCAGCAAAGCCTGATGGAAGTAAAAATCAGAGCTTTCAAAAGTAATTTGCTTAAGCTGTCAATGAAGCAACTTTCAACACCATGCAGATTTCTGGAAACCCTCTAGCTTGTGCTCCTAGACTGATTCCCAGCTGGTGGAGGATTAAGCCAAGGGATAAAACATATTCAGGCCCTAAAGCACATTGGGATTTTACCTTAACAACAGCAGCAACGTTGCCTTGAAGCACCTTTAATCTTTCAACATAGCTTTTCCTTTGCTTGTATCCTTTCCAGTAAGCCTATTTTATAGAAGGCAAGAGACCATTATCATAAAAAAGAAACATATTTATTAAAACAGATGTATATACACTAAAATCATTAACTGTTTATCTTATAGAGAAAAACTGCCACTGTGATAAAAGGATAACTGAGGTCTAAGTAAGCTTGCCTCTCTTTTTGAAGGTGCCTTGATACATTTCATGCTATTTTTGCCCAATCTCAGCACATTTTGTTGTCTAGTACCATTTCCTTCACTTCCTTCAAGTCATCTTTCCTCTTATCTCCAGTACACCCACATCCTTAGCAGCCAGTCACTCACATATGGAAGACTGACAGCTGTTGCCCATGTCTTGGCCTCACCTCGATCCCTGGAAAGGTGCTGGAGTGCCTCGCTCTGGAGACCATCTCTATCCACATGGATGACAAGAAGGTGACCACGAGTAGTCATCATGAATTCACTACGGGTAAATCATGCTTGGCCAACCTAATTTCCTACTGTGACAAAACCTCTACCTGGATGGATGATGGGAGAGCAGTGGACATTGCCCACCTTGACTTCAGCAAGGCTGTCTCTCACAACATGGTCAAAGACACACTCAGGAATGTGGACTGGATGAGAGGACAGTGAGGTGGATTGAGAACTGGCTGAGTGGTAGGTCCCAGAAGGTCATAACCAGTGACACAGGGTCTAGTTGGAGGCTGTCACCAAAGGTGTCTCCCAGGGTTCTGTACAGAGTCCAGTATTGTCTAACTTATTCTTCAATGACTTGGATGAAAGGACAGAGTTGCCTTCTCAGCAAGTTCACTGACAACACAAAGCTGGCTGGGAGCAGTGGCTGATACCTCAGAGTGCTGTGCTGCCCTTCAGAAGGACCTCAACAGGTTGGAGAGATGGGCAGAGAAGAAGTGCCTGAAATTCAACAAGGGCAAGTGCAGGTCCTGCACCTGAGGAGGAATAACCTTGAGCACCAGTACAGGCTGGGGCTGACCTGCTAGAAAGCTGCTCTGTGGAGAAGGACCTGGAAATCCTGGTGGACAACAAGCTGTCCATGAGCAGCAGTGTGCCCTGGGGACCAAAAAGGCCAATGGAATCCTGGGGTGCATTTGGAAGAGTACTGCTAGCAGGTTGAGGCGGGGGATCCTGCCTCTCTGCTCAGCCCTGGTGAGGCACATCTGGAGTGCTGTGTTGAGTTCTGGACTTCTTAGGGCAAGAGAGACATGGAGCTCCTAGGGCAGAGGGCAGCAGAGGGCAACAAAGATGTTGAAGGGACTGGAACATCTCTCCCACAAGGAAAGACTGAGGGAGCTGGGGCTGTTCAGTCTCAAGAAGAGATGACTAAGAGGGACCTCATCACTGTCTACAAGTATCTGAAGGGGCAGTGCCAAGAGGATGGATCAAGCTCTGCTCCAAGGTGCTGAGCAGTAGAACAACAGGAAATGGGCAGAAACTGATGTACAGGAAGTTCCACCTGAATCTGAGGAAGAACTTCTTTACTGTGAGGGTGAGCACACATTGGAACAGATTGCCCAGAGAGGTCATGTATTCTTCCACAGTGCAGATATTAAGAACCACCTGGATGCAATCCTGCACCCTGTGCTCTACGATGACCCTGTTTGAACAGGAAAGTTGGACCAATTGACTCAGTGTGGTGCCTTCCGGCCTTAACTAGTCTCTGATTTTTTACATCCAAAAGCTCTGCCCTACCTAGCTACCTGGACCCACATTATTCTTACCCTGGCCTCTTTGCCAAGTATATGGTTTTCCAGAGTCACTCACTATCTCGTGCCACAGATAATAACATCCCAGTTCCATCCGTGCTCTCCATTTGCTAGCTCAGAAGCAAACTCTTGGCAAGGAACCCAACAACAGGGAGAACAGATACTCTTGCTGTGTTTGCTGCACATTGCCTGTCATCTCTATCCAGCCAGTGGCACCAGCCTTGTCCTCCCCTTGTTGTCTTTCCACAAGTCATTTCTATTTTCATGCTCAGAGAAAAAAAATGGAGAACAACTTTATTTACCTACATTTCTCCACATTTTTAAGCCTATTCACATACCTTGAATTCCTCCAAGTACAATCCTTTACTGGGCTCAGACACAGTGTCAGAAAATGAAAAGTCAATCCCAAAAACAGCTACTAGTGGTAAAGGTATTTGTCATAATGATTTGCTAAACAAAGTTACTGTAGAGTAAAAAATTCAGTTGTACATTTTTCCTCGGTTTTGTTTTTTTTTGGGGTGGTGGCGATGGTGCGTTTGATTGTTCTTCAAGACTGGAATAAATTGCTCCTATTTCACCATTTACAACCAGTGTGCATGTATGTGTAAGTGTTTGCACCCTCAGCAGAAAGTTCCCTTTATACTCCTTTTGGAGTTCAGCAAACTGAAGACATCCAAGAAATACTGCCAGAGAATATCAGGGTGGCTGCCACTCCCTATCCAGCTATGACTTCATGGAGCAGAGGCAAACCACTTCCAACCGGGGATAGTCCAGAAAGGAATGTGTTTCTTAAGTCATGCCTTGCCAAGGAATTTTCACCTCGATACTCAACAAATATCTTCTGGTCTTTTCCTGTGCATAGCTAGGTGAACCACACAAAAACCTGAGCACGTCAGAACAAAGCCAGGGCTGAGTAATTTTGAGCTTTTCCCAGAGTGGGAAAAGGTGGATACGATCCCTTCTTTTACAACTGGATAGTTGCTACATGAAGTCACATGTAATTGCAGATGTAGAAGTTTAAACTGCTGCTAATGAAAACAGGGAGACAGATCTATTTGAGAATTTGATAGTCATCAGCCATATCACCATTTACATGCAGAAAACTGCCCAAGCCATGTTACCCTCTTGTTCTAGAACAATACCTGTATTTTGATGGCAGATGGCTCCTGGTTTTGAAGATATGCTTTTCTCTCCTGATAGTTTTTTCTGACTAGGAATCCCCTTGCTCGGGCTTGCAGCTGAACAATGAGATTTTCATTAGCAAGCCAGAGCTGCTCTCGATTGTAATCTGCTGTAACTTGCCCAACAATGTTCTGTTAAGAGATCACGGAAAAGAAGATCATTTAAAGGCAGAAAGAAGTCAACCCAAAAGCATCCTGGAATTTGGTCTGTATTCTCTCCATCATCTCTGCATCTTACGTTCACCCTATCCAAGTGCCTCTGATTTACCCCTGGATTTTACTCAGTAAGAAGGAAGAGCTACTTTCCTACCACTGAACTGTGTACAAAGGATAACTGGACTTCTATCAAGCTTCAGTTGTTCAAATGGATATGCTATATTAAGAGAGTATTTTTTCTTATACTTTAGGAGAGTTTCCTAACAGTCACAAGTTTTTTGTGCAAGTCAGACATCTAGAAATACTGACTCAGTGAGTTCTCTTTTGAGAAGCACACTCAGGTACTGCTGCAGTCAGGATTTCAGGAGGACCTACGCTGTGATTTGAGCTGTTTCTGTAGAGGTGTAATCCTGTAACCTAGATGAGCTGCATCAGAGCAAAAACGAAAAAAAAATTGTGCAGTAACTTATGTGATCTGCTTTGTTTTAAGTTATATTTCACACTCAGGCAAAACCTCTACAGTAAGGGAGTTTAAGTAGCACACACATCCTATTGAATTTGGAGATAAAAGAATGCTGTCAGAGGATCAGATTTAAACATAAAATGGTGGTTCCACTTGCACCCAAATACTTCATGAAACTCCTTGTTGTAGGCCAATGCAAAGTTGAAACAAACTGAAAGGATATGGAAGCAACCATGCTTCCCTCTGTTGGTGTCTGCTGGTGGCCGTGAATAGGAATGCTATAACTTCCAGTAAGGAAATCCCTAAATCATTGCCAGACACCAGACAGGAGGCTTTGCTATCACTATCTACTTAGACTTAAGATGCTGCTTTTGCTAGAAGCAGATACTGATAAAGTGAGTTCAGTTTCACCCACCTCAGCCTCTTCCCTTGATATTCCCATGTCTCATACTCTCTCTCTCAAATGTTTATGTTGCATTTGCAACAAAAGCAAATGTTTCATCCACCTACCTGGATTTCTTCACCAGTTAGCCATGAAGTTTTTGGTACAACTCCTACAGGGGCAGCACAGGTACCTTCCTCATTTTGCACATTGTAATAGTAATCATACATGCCTTTCATTACAAGTTTAATCCATGGACCTTCACTGGAACCTAGAAGCAGTATATACATACCATTAGTACACATTTGTGCCCTGTTTCACTGATAAATTGCAGCTCTCCCTACCCATTTCCCCTGCCTGCATTTGTTGTGAAGCCATTTTGTATGCAAAATCACTCTGTATCTTGGGCTGGATTGTAGTAAGGATTTTAAAAATACCCTGTTAGGTGGATCAGGATCATTCCTCTAGAGTAACACAGCTCTGAGGTTAGTGAAACAGGTATGAGGTAGTACAGATCCACTGCCAGCCTTTTCAAACCCCAGCATGCCAAGTTAGTGCTCCTGAAACTGTGCTACACCTTCCATCATCACTCAGGTAAGCAGAACTGAGACTATGTTTATAAAAAACGGTTTTGTGTTCTGTCCAAACGCAGGACTTATTTGACACTTACCTCACACAGGACATTTCCCATATCCACATCATTGTCTTGTTTAGTGCTTTGGTAAACAAGTCTGTATCCTGACAGGTAGGAAAAGCCTCATTTCCTCATGAACAAAAGCCCCCAAGATAAAGCTGGTAAGGTCTGTCCTCAAAGCACTCATGTTGTGCGATGAAACATGACTATCTACTGTCAGAAAGTGTACTACATTGACAGTAACTATTTCTTTAACTGATGGCTAATTTTGGCTGCTGTTAGCTATGGGCAACTTTGTAGCTCTAACGTGACAAAACATCCCATCATCTTTCCAAGGGCAGATTCTAGCCCCAGCTTTTGCTGGTAACTACTGCTGTGGCAATACACACGGACCATAAATAAGCTGCGGGCACTGTCAGGGCCTGACTTGATCTTTGACAGCAACCTGCAAGGCTGAATTGTTTAGTCTAACTCTTCTCTGCACCTGCTAGTGGGGGAAAAAAAAGTAGTATCAGAGAGCAATATGGTTTTCTGAGAGGATGGACTAGTCTATTGACACTCACAGAGAAGCTGCCCTGAATTCACTCAGAGGCTGGTTTGAGATTCTAGAAAGTCTAAACTAGACTCTGGAAACCACTAATTTCTCACCATGTACTGTGGTCTGAATGATGTGTGCAGGAGCTCAGCAACACATAAAAAGCACGTGGAAAAGTATATTTATCAAAAGACTTAAAACCAGCAGCTGTCTTCCTCAATTTACAGTGATTGTGGCTAAACCTGTTCTAACTTTCTGGTTGCCTCAGTGATATGGAAACATGGAACTGTTCTATTCAGGAAGGTTTTTACCTTCTGTAGTTTTCAGGTTTTTGGCTTCAGAGAGGTTCCTGAAGTAGGCTTCAGCACACTCAGGAATTACTCTTAATCCAAACTTGGACTGCAGTACCATCAGGATTGACTGTGAATCACCATTCTCCAAGCACTTGTTAGTCACTGATGTTCCAACAGCCACTAGGATAAAATAATGACAAAGAAAATTAAGTGTCTCGTACTCTATGCACCCATAACTCTAGCCTCTAGCAGCATTGAGAATGGACTTCTAAGACTAGAACACACAGGCAGCATGACATACACAGCAATTCAGTGCTTTACCCATTTGCAGCCTGCTTCATGCTTGGAAAGACAAGTATTTTTGAAAAGAGCAATTGTGTTAGGTAGAAAATGTGTGCTCCGTCCGGACTGAGATGCAGACATAGCAAGAGTGGTTTTGAGGGCATAGCTGCCCCCATCAAGTGACACAACCAGCTGACAGTAGGGCAGAGGTGAGGATGGCCAGTACCCACACACCCAGCCTGTCCTGACAGGCTGATCACTTGGGAACCTTCTAGAGGTGCATGTTGTCATTCAGTTACAAGTTGTAAACCTTAACATTCATTTATACTGTACAAAATGGGAATTAAAACCAATTGCCTCAAGCAAATTCTTGCAGCAACCCAGTCAGCATCCTGAAGCTACCCTTTTCCTTTAACTCACCTTCAGGAGCTTGTTTAAAGTTTGTTTGAAGCAAATTCATGGCCCTGAATTTACCAGAGATGCAGGTTTTACTTCCAGGGCACATAAAAGTGCCCTGAGGTGATGCTGTGAAGCATGTGCAAACTTTGAGATTATATAACATTACCCATATTCTAATTCAGGACTTCCTAAGCATCTCTTGCTTTGTGCAGGTCCCACCACGACTGAAGAAGCTGATACCACCACTGACAGAGTGTGGAAGCACATGACACTTCAAAAGTGCCAGATGGCTGCTTTAGAAGTGGCTGGTCTGGTCATTAAAAATCTTTGTTCACATCTAAATTCAAGATCCAAGCACAGAGGAACAAGTGAAGACATATGGCTGGATCATACACATCATATACTGGTGTAAGTGAATCTGCCTATGTTTGCATCCCACAATTGTACTTGATACCACAACACCAAACACTTTTCCTGATCTTGTGTCTATTCAGACCAATACAAGGTCCCTGCACACACTCAGTACTCTGCCCACACAGGCCTGGCCCAAAGGACATTCAGTATCAGAAATCTACTAAAGAGGCTACACAGACACGAGACTGAGCAAGCAGGAGAGGATTTCAGCAAGATAAAGTTATTTTTTATGGTTAGTTTGACTAAGGTGGAATGGCTAGGCTTTAGCTAGACAGATCAATCTAAAAATATACTGTCAGCCAGTTGAGAAACAAAGTGGATGCACAACACCACACCACCACCATCTGGATCCCTATCAGATAGCATCCTGCTCCCTGTGCTTTGAAACAGACCCCTGACAAGGACAGGCACACTCTCCATAAGACTGGAGACATCTCTGTACCACTGCTGTGGCACTGTGATGCCCAGGCATCTGGCCTCAGCAGCAATAAAGCAGGAAAAACTGGGAAGCCGCAAGTTACCAGCTGGCTGTGGCTGGCCCGGGGGACTCTGGGGTCTCAGCCCTACCGATACACCACCCCATGTGCCGTGTCAACTCTGTTGAAGGCTTTCCTTCCTCCTTTTCATCATACAGTTATAGGTGCTTTAAGCTATTGTTAAAAGGACAGCAAACACACAACTTAAGCTGAGAGTTGTTTCTGTAGGTTCACTGCCATCTGGCTTTTCTCATCTTTCAGTTAAACATGCTTTTATGTTTAAAGGAAAATATAAGACAAATGTTTAGTAGGGAAAAAAACTCAATTCAGCAGAAATTATTCCCTTCTATTTAAGTGCTAGCAATTAATAGTGATGGTATTGCTGTACAGAATGGCTGTGTGGGCCCTGGAAAGCTACAAGACAAAGGCTGAGATAGAGTTCAGCCATCCCCAGCTGCAGGAGAACTGTCAGCTCCAGACTGCTCCTGGATCAACACTGTGAAGGTCTGTTTTCCACACCCACCCTCCCCTCAGACAGCTGTGACATACAAAGCTACAGTTGTCTGGTGTGAGAAGTCTGAACTCTCAATAGGGCCAAAGATCAGCTTTTTCCTATAACTTGGACTCTTGTGACAGATAGACTCTTCCTGTGCAAGACTAAGCTCAGTATCTGAGTCTATTTCTGAAGGCTATACAGCTGATAATTAGCCAATCTCATTTTGTCTTCCACTAAGATAAGGAGCACAATGGTGGAACTGACTCAAGAAGTGAAGCAAGGTGATGCAAACCACAGAGCAAGCACCACAAAGAATTAGGAGATGCACCAGCACTAACTGAACACTTCTCCCTAAATGAAGATACAAGATATAGAGTTCTTTTCTGACAGGGAAGACTGTAAAAGTCTTTTAAATTTTTAACATTGAACTATTTCATATTTATGTAGGGCATATAAATTAGTTTGGAGGTGATCCAGATTCCATACAGCTGCCAGTTCCTTCTCTTACTTTACTGCTTATTTTATTGCCATTACTGTAGCAATCCCAGAAAGACTTTTTTTGACTGAAAAATAAATATTTTACTGCCTTGCAGCAGTTTTGGAGCAGTTTGCCTTTCAAAAAAGAGCATCTGAGACAGAACAAACCAAAGTCCGTTTCCAAGTTGTGATCAAGCTGAACTTTAAGTTTAGACTATGTGAACACAACATGAAAACTTCCTGAGACAGGATGTGTTGGTTATAGGAAGTGTCAGGTTCTGTGCCATGGGGAAATTTTAAATCTCAGTTTTTAGCTGCAAAAACCTTCAAGCACTTCTGAAGAATGTGCTGTGCTGACACTGCTTCCTTTCAACCCAGAGGGTAGAGAAGATCAGCAGAGTTTTTCCTACAAGTAACATGTTAAAACAGTTCCACTGAGCATCCTTGGTTGTGAAAAGCTGTGCTTTTACTACCGACAGATGATATGAAAAGATTTTACTACAACAACTAGGCAGTGGATGGAGCAGTGGCTTACTATTAGCAACACTGCATGGTATTGGTATGTGAATTATGCTGTGCTGATTTCTGCAGGTCATTTGTGCTACATATTCTTAACGCTTTTATGCCAATGAACACAAACAAGGATGTTTTGAAGTTGCTCTTTAGGTTTAATTAACATCTGTTTATAACCTACACATTTCCTTCCCTTCTCTGCGCTCAGATGTTTCCTCATGGCTCCGGGTGGCATTGATGGGAAGCTGCTTTTGTCCACAAAAGAAGGTATCAGTATTCCTCAGTACAAGAGCTTGGTTAAGACATTGTGTGTGTGTCTGATCCTGTCTCAGAAAACACAAGGGAGATGGTTTCCACTAGGGATGTGTGACCTGTAAAAGTCCTTCAGCAGCCTTCAGTGTGTCTGACTTGTTACATGAAGAGTTAATTAATTGTTCAATTCTAAAGCAACAGTAATGCTAAATGCAATGTTTGTACAGCAGGGATAGCTATTTGTAAAAGCAAGCTGTGTTTGTTTTCTTCCACCCACAACTTCCCAAGCACTAACTGCTGATGTACCTGCGAGTGCACAGCCTGCTGCACTGCACTAAGGATGGCTAAGCACAGCCCTGCAGGAGTGCACTGATTTCAGCTGTTGTATTCATAAGGTCCTAAGGTACAAAAAGAAGGCAACTCTGACTCACTCCAAGCCAAGTCAAGCAGAAGGCTAACCAATACCCAGTGCCAAGCTACCAGCCTCAGTTGGTCTGCACTGGCAGCAACAGGCAGGCAATGCCACCACATTCTCCAGAGTGCTCCACGCACCCCTAGCCACACTTGCTTCTTTATTACTTGCTTAAGTTTGTTAGGAGTAGTTGTCTAAAATTATTATGTTCAACCCAGATGTTGATAGAAGGTGTTGAGAGTATTCAGTACATAATACTCTGACAGGATAAGCCTCAGCATTTTTCCTACAGGTGTCCTCTTCCTTATAGATTGAAAGAACATGCACTTCTCAAAAACAAAAACAGAATAAACCCACAACAGCTGAGTTCTCTTTTTACCCTGCTTTTAAAGTTAAAATGTTCCTAATTTTTGTTTGTTAGCACTTCATGAAAGACATTATAAAGCAAAGCTGCAAACAAAAATTTGCTGTTACAGCATGCATCAAGATTTTAGTCTTACGTAAGAAGAATAAGCTCCTGAAGAGCATATGTATCTCATTCATGTGTCTTGGGAGCTGTGTGAAGATACAGTGACACTAGAAATCTCAGTCATGATATTAACCTGTATAACCAAATTGACTGAATTATTTGTCAAGCCTTAAAGATTGCTTTAGATAATAAAACTAACACCACTCCTGTAGTTCTAAGTCACCCCAGTTTCAGTATGACAAGGAACATGCATCCATTTCTTTTCAAGTATTTAAAGGGCTTCCACTCTTCCCTGAAGTGGCAGTAACAAATCACCAACTTCAGTTTCTCAAGACTAAGATAAAACAAGAGCAGTACAAATGCAGATTAATTCTTACAGATTAATGCTTCTTTTATGTTGTTATTGCCATCGCTGATCCCTTTTTGTATTTCATCCAGCCACAGAAGTGCTGAGTCATCTTGGGTTTCCTGGAAAAAAAGATAGAAAAAAACCTTGAGAAAACTGAATTATCAAAGGAGTTGTCTGAATAAACTGATACACCTCCAATGTAGAATATCCTCTTGCAAAGCCCTTGGACACTAAAATGAATTTGACTGCTTAAAATCAGCGATGAAACACATGCATAGTCTGACCTGAATAAACTCCTGTTCAAATGTAAAGCTCTGAAAGTTCTGAGGCATAGAAGAATTCACTTAAATACCAGTTTTTGGCTGTAAAACCTTAGGGATCTTCTGAATAATGTGCTGTGCTGACACTGCTGACCTAGAATTCATCCTGCTAAAGACCAATTACAATTTTGAGTGAAGCTAGAAGTATTTTAATTTCCATGATACGTTGGCAAAGCAGTCTGAGTGACACATAAACCCACACAGGCAGCACTGTGATCACAGCATGGTGAGGACAAAGAAGAAGACTGCAGGAAGTTGGCTGTCCTTCAAAATCCCTTATTTGGAAAGGATCCCTGTGTATACTTGAGTACACATTACCTTAGAAAACAACAGTGAAAACTCACACAGAAAGACAGCTCAGGTTTAGTAATGATGACTTAGCTCAAGTGGTAAATGTTTCTGGAATTAAGCAGCAGAGCAGGTACTGCTCTTCTTGGCATTAAACCCAAGTTAAAACAGAAGGTGCAGGGAAGTGGGTTCAACACCAGTAAACAACCCTGCTGCCCATGTTCACAGGTGAACCAACACTTCAGCAGAGCAAATAGGGGTTTGGAGCTAAAATAACATTTTAAATCCAGTAGGTGGGGGGAAAATTCATGTTGTAGAGGAAATAGGAGTGTCAGGTCTATAACAGCCTAATGAGAAACTGGAATGTACTCATTGATAAAGATCTAGTAGTACATACACACAAATATTTCAGGAAAAAACCCAGCTAGAAACACACTCTAACACAGTGTGGACAGAGAATATCAGCTTTGCAATGAATATCCCTGGTTGAGCACTGAGCCAAAGATCTGAAATCCACAGAAATTACAAAGATAAAACATGGTGAGAAAGCAGGGTAAAATCCACATGCTCTTCAGTTTGCATCATATATATAAACAGAGGAGCAGATATAAAAAACATCAAGTAGCGTCAGACAATCGCAGCGCAGTGGACACACTGCACATTTCTCTAAAAGAGAGTTAGAGTTAACACTCAAAAAAAGTGTCTATTAAATTCCCAAACTACAGCTGGCATTATTGAGAAAAGGACTGAGACACTGAAAAGAATTCCTTATGTGATATCCAACTTTAACACATTAAATACAAGAACAGACACAAGATAATGTGCTCGAGCCAAGCAGAGTTTATGCTGAGCCTCACCACTAGCTTGGAAGCTAGATCAAGACTTGGGTTAATTTTGCCTGCAGAAGTAAGCTGCTGTTGTTTGGCATTCAAGGAGGAAAAAAACCCAACCAAACAAACAAAAGAAAGGCAAAAAAAAAAAATCCAGTCAGAGAAAAAGGAAAGTATCAACAAAACAGCAGATGAAAATAGGGGAAAGGTTTTAGAGGTTGCAGGCTGTAGGGAGGTGGGAGCTATCTGAAGGGAGGCAGCAGCTGGAATGAAGGAGCCAGACGACTAGCAGTGGGTTGAGAGGCAGAAGGCAAAGTAGAACGCAGTTTTCTTAAGGAATGTTTGTATGTTTGGCTTCTTTCCACCTTCGCTATAGACTGAGATCACACTCCTCTCCAAGCCTGGCTTCTTTCTTGAGGGGCGTACAGATCCAGCCACATGACATTTCAGTCTCTGGACTAAAACCCTTGAGGATTTACTAAATGCACCCTTTGAATTTTTCCAGAAAACACCTTTTCAACCCAAATATCTGTGTGTGCAAATTCCAGCAGAAACCTGCACATCAGCTTCAGACTCGTGGTGAATTAGGAGTTAAATTGCTACTGCAAAGCAATTTTATCTCTGTGTCGGGCAGAGGCTGAAACTGAGTCATGTGTGCATATTTGGATACGTCACACCCTCTCCTGTAGGAGACAAAGAACAAATTAGCTCCTTACCATAAACCACATGCTTACAGGATGCTCCTGGAGGACAGATCAATCACTGTGTAGTCCCTTACAGGAAGAGGGGAAAAAAAGCCCCACAAAACAGCCCCTGAGATGAACTAGACCAGCACCGTTGTTTGGCTAGCTGGATTTCAGAGACTACAATGAAGACACTGCTTTTCACTGGACTGCTCTCTCTCACCTCCAGTCTTTGCACAACAGGTGAGTTATGCAGTATCTATTCCCTATTTTAGTCAATAACATGGCCTTTTTGGTAATGCTGACCTGAAATGGGTTGCACATGCATCATACAGAAAACTATACCCTAGGAAGTCTTATTTAAAGCAGATTTTTATTCTTTAATTTCAGTGACACCTTACCTCTCCCCAGTCATTTTCTATAAACAATTTAAGTGAACTTCATGCACTTACTGAAGACATCTTTTATCTAGGATTTCTGTGGTTATATGGTAATTTTAAACCTGCAGAGTCTTGTTCTTCCTGCCTTAAAATGTTCAACAGAATTAGAACTTCGCAGATGGTGTTACTAGAAGGAAATGCTCAGATAGCTATTACGATTAAAATAACTAAAGGAAATGATCAAATAAGCCTCTTTTTATTTTTTCCTCTCTGAAATTAAAGGTGTTTTCAAACCAGGCTCTTTTTGAAACGCTGGTGTGCATAT